GGACGAGAACGAGGAGGAGACCGACGAGGAGCCGGTCCTTTGAGGGAGACCCGTCGCGAGATGGGATTTCGATCGTGATTCGATCTCATCCTCGCATCGCCGTCGAAAATTACCGTCATCGGCGTTCTCCGTGGTCAGGAGGAGGAGAATGCGTTTCGCCACCGCCGCCGCAACCAAGATTCAAAATCCTGAGGGAGAATGCTAAAGGGGGGATGAATCGATGAATCGTATTTTCAACACCGTCGAATACACGCGAGGATGAAACGAGGACGAGATACGTGTTACATGGCTCAAGAAACCAAGAGAAACGTATTCCAATCTTCTTGGGCTTGAGGATATCTCGTTAGGTTGTTCTTCTTCCGCCGAAAACCAAACTTCGTTCGATCGTTTCCCCGTTTGTTCGTAAACGGTCGACGCGTGCACCAGAGGTCCTCCATGTTTGTCTAATAAAAGGATCGGATCTCTGATCGGTGCGCGATTTTCTCTATCTCGGCACGAAGATGCTCTTAATCGGATCGTTTCGCGTGAACGTTTTCATTTAGCCNAGAGAGAGAGAGAGAGAGAGAGAGAGAGAGAGAGAGGAACGTCGATGCACGAAAATAGAGATATATATACATATATATACTACTCGTTCGACGCAACGGACGCAACGACGGATCGGATTTTTTTTTTCTTCTTTTTCTTCTTCTTCTTCTTCTTCTTCTCACGAGTGGTTGTTCCGTCGAGAGTATGAGAACGAGTCGTGGAACCGTCGTCGCGGTTCGTTCGATATCTAACGATATACAATTGCTTCGTAAAAGCTACTTAAACAAAACGTTGTGCGCGGTTTAAATGTTACTTACGTAAGGACACTTATGTTAGCGTTTAAAAAAATAACCAACCAACATGTTGAGACTTCGGTTGTACTTTACGAGTTCAGAGCACGCGGGACGTTGCGGTGTCTGGCCAGACACCGGACTCTTTTCGAAATCGTGCAACGATCTTTCGCGATTTCGAGGGTGAATTTTTTCGTGGAAGATGAATGGATCCGAAAAAAGGAAATACGGATGATTTAGGGAGGGGGAAAAAAGTGGTTGATTCGACGGGACTCGAGCCGCCTTAGCAAATTTCGATTGGTGGACGAAGAACCGAAGAAACGAAGAGGGGAGATGAAGTGAAGTACTTTGAGAAACGCCAAAACCTCGACTGCTCAAGGGACCGCAATTTTAGCGTAAACGAGAGGAGGACACTTGATTTTTTATATTATAATTGTGATTTGATAAAACGAACGAGCCTCGTGTCTCGCGTCGGTGACGAATTAGGGTTAGTCGCTTAAGAAATACCAAAATTTTTGTAAAATCGTGCCCCCGCGCTCACCCGTCGAGAACGAGCCTCATTTTTTCGAGCATTTTTCGATGAATTCGAACGTGATTGTTCGCCTTGACGTCTTTCAATTAGGGAGGGGAGAGAGAGAGAGAGAAAGAAAGAGTGAGAAAGAGAGAGAGAACGAAAAGTATTTAAAAACGACACGGAGATATTGTTTGTATCGTTTCGAATCGATAGGACGTTCATTTTTTTTGCGGTCAATGAAAATGTCGTCCTTGACGGTTCGACGATTGCGCCATTAATTAATTAAACTGCACGCGGTGGAAACCAAAAAGAAAAAGAAAAAAGAAAATGAGAGCGAATAGGAAAAACGCGCTTGTTCGACTTTTTGTAAAAAAAAACAAAAACGCGCGAAATCAATCGACGATGTATTTATCAACTCGATCCGTTTTTTTCGGTTCACGCGAACGTTCCATTAAACACACCATGGATGGATTAAAATCGAAGAGAACAAGGAGAGAGAGAGAGAGAGAAAGAATGCGAGAGAGAAAGAAAAAGAGAGAAAGAGAGAGAAAGGATTTGAGGGGTGAAGGTTTTGACTAATTCTCAACCGTAATTGCATGTAACTTCGATAGCACGCACACAAAATATGCGCCTAGCCGCGTAATATTCGTAAATATATACGTGTAAATACATATTTGCTTCTCTGGCAGAGTAAACCGAAGACACATGGTATATATATACATATATATACATATATACATATACGAATCATTATACGAAAGCTTTTTCCTCTTAACTGGTAAATATACGTACATCTATACATATATATCATGTATGTCGCCTTGTTCGAAATCATTGGCGAAATCATATTTTTCGACTATTGTATAGCCCCTTTTTCGTCGATGAACAAGAGAGAAAGACAGAGAGAGAGAGAAAAGAAAGGCAAAAAAAAAAAAAAAAGGAGAAGAAACGATCGAGAGTCGATCGATGAAGAGAATTTACGAGATCGCGTGGTATTTTCGATTCTTCTGGTCATGTCGTGGTTGAACGAATGCATCATTTTTTGGATACGATGTTCGCCATGTCCAGCCAGATTCGAACAACAGAAAGGATTATCCAGCCATTGTAGATTACACGTTCAAGACCAAAAAAAAAAAAAAAGAAAAAAGAAAAAAGAAAAAAGCGAAACCAGTTGAAGCAGGATGGAAGAGATTCATTCTAAATGGAATGGAATGGAAAATTGGACGATGCGATCGTCACGGCGGATATGGGCTATTGGACGATGATCGATAATAATCGAACAACAGAGAATTTTCGGCTCGATACTTAACGAACTCGTCTTCGAGCGTTTTCGTTTCGTTTAGGTTCAGGACAACGGTGTACGCTCGCTATCGTTAGGATTTTATTCGAGGAAGCGTAAAGCTCCGTGCGTGTACGTAGACCGCATGCAAGAAACACACGTTGCAACATTGTAGGATCCTCCCGGTACGGAATCTCGCGTCGTATCGATATTTCTTAAAAAAAATACGACCCGTTCGTTCGTTTCGACGGGGCGGACGTGTTCGACACATGAGAAACACCAACCGACAGGAACAACACACATGTTATACGGGAAGAGAGTGGCACGTGGAAATAGAGAGTACGGAAATCTCGATCTATATGGATTTTCGTGGATAGATATTACCATATTTTCCGAGAGTTACGAGAGGACGTTGTTACTGTAAAGATATGTAAGTTTATTTATCGCTAATAAAAATGAACGTTTAAGAAAAATAACCGAGGCTGTTGTTGTGAATATTCATGCGGATGCACCAATTCATTTGTTATCGATTATTATCCGTTTCTTCGAAATATCATCGCATAAAACAATTTGGAAGAATTCAACGATCGAACTTTTATTTCTTCTCTTGCATAAAACGATTCGTCGACAGCGATTATTTTATGGATCCTTATGCTATTAAAAAAAATGTAATCGAAAACTATATAAATAACGTATACAGTTTGACGTATTCTTGGATATACATATGAAGGGAACACGAGTAGTTCGACGATCATGTTGATTGATCGTGTCAACGTCACAATTTTCACAAGGGAAGAGTGATGAATGAAGAAATGGACGTAGCAGTAAAAATTTTGTTCAGTAGATTTATTAGACCCTTTAAAATATTTGAAACAGCGTGCGGCTCTTATTTGGCGTAACAGTGAGATATCGTTAATAAGGTACACAGTACGAAGCTCAAGGTGAGCGAAGCGATCAAGATCGATTTAAAATTCACAATTCAATCGTTCGATTCCTCGACACATCCTGTATCCCGCGCTCGTAAAAATCGAGCGTGGGGAATCGGGATCCGCGTTTCCTCGAGAGTTTTTTTTTTTTTCTTTTCTTTTTCTTTTTCTTTTTCTCTTTCAAGTGCAAGCGCCAGTTTTTCACGTCACGTCCACGTCACGTTCGTCCGTGTTCCCCCAAAATGGCGGGAACGCAACAACCTCTAATAACATAATCTACGATCCGGTTTAACGGATCGCGATCGATCGTGTTTTACTGCGGTGCTTGATTCTTCTTAACTCTTACGTTACTTTTACTTTATAGATGGAGAATACAGTACGTGACTTATACAAGATTAGACGAGAGAGATTAAAATCGAAAAATCCACATATTCTTACGAGAAGAAATCGAT